TGTGTGTGTGTGTCGGCACCCACAGTGCCTAGCACAATGCGGCCCTAAATGGGATCTTCGGGTGCAACTGGAATATAAATAATAAATCATAATGGATGGATGAAATCACAAGAAGTTTCACGTCTCCGTCCCCATGGCTTTGTGATCAAACAATAAAGTAACTCAGAGAAATGCAGAGGAGACTGTTTTACCCCTGGCATGCCCTGATTGGGGTGAGCACATATTTTAAACAACAATTCTACAGCTTATTTACAGAGCTAAATGTCATATGTTTAAAACTAATAAGTTGGTTCATTATGAAAAATCCCTAAGTGATTAATTAATGGAAGTAAAGTCATTGTCAGCACAGCAGTCAACTAATATTATCCCAGGCACTCTCATGAAGTCAATTACCTGATGGAAAAGTCTATTCACTCTCCCAAGTCTGTTCAAGTTCAACAACTAAAAATAATGAAGCAAAGTTTTCGATCATGGAACAGTAAGCTTCTTCGTATTTGCTCTTATTTCCTACATTGTACTGTGCCAGTCAGATTCCAAGATAACTGATAGTTATTCACAGATAAAATTTGAAAACAATAGAGTATAGTTAAAAATAAGCTTTAAAGTATACACCCTCCTGACGGACTGCAACAGGCAAAAAGTTAGTTCTGCAACTCCTGGAGAATAACCAGTGCAATAATAATAATAAAGGCCTTGATTTTCCTCTCACTCACACCACTTTAAAACAGAAGCAACTCCACTGAAATCATTGGTGTTATACCAGTGTCTGAGGAGAACCAGGCCCATAGTGAGGTCTGCTGCAGGATCATCCACCTAATCACTATGATTAAGGGTAAAAATTTCAAAAACACCCAGATGATTTAGAAGCCTAAGTCCCATTCATTGACTTTTGAAAACATGACCTTAAATCTAATTTGGAGTGTCTCCAACTTTCAAAAAAAAAATCTGTTTTAGTAATGCTGCTGTGATTTTTGTTGTGTTGAGTGTTAGAGCACTGAGGGCTTCATATAAGTATCTTTTTATTATTTAAATCTTTTTTTAAAAAATCCTAACAATAACAGTCCACTGTACTAAAGTGGTGTAGATGTTCTGGCTCAGGCTGAAGCCTGAGCTCTGGGACCTTCCCACCTCACGGGGTCCTAGAGCACAGTCTCCAGCCCAAGCCCAGGTGTCTACACTGCAGGACATTAAACAGCCCTGCCACCTGAGCCCCATGAGCCTGAATCAATGGGCAGGGGACAGCCGCCGGTATCTAACTGCAGTGTAGACACCCTTATGTGGTGGCAAAGCCAGGACTTAAAAGGACACACTTGCAAGAAGCCAAATCCTGGCCTCTGCACACAATGTGGTTATGCCTTGGGAACTTTTAAGGATGGGTGAGATGAAGGAACCCTCCCTCCCAGATTATGGAGCCACAGTGAAGCCACTTCATCGTCACTTCCACAACTGCTACATGCCCTCCAACCTACTCTGGGGGAGGGGGATTGGCCCACTGGGCTATGGATTGCAGCCCCACCCACCCAACCACTCCCTCAGCCAGCCCTCAAAGCAGCCTAGCATGTTGGGGTGGAGGGAACCCCTGCAGGGGTCAGCTAGGTTCAGGCTTTTCCATAGCCATGGAGAGGATTCAGGACCTGCCCCTCACTGATCATATAGGTCCTCCCCTGGCCTGTCGCATTAGAATTCAAAGTTTGATTGTTGTCACAGTGAACGGTCAATGGGCAGCGGTGTGCAAAACTTCATTTCATCGGGTAGCATCAGTATGTCTTTATGAGGCAGCATATAGAAACCAGGGGCCAGAGGCTGCCTTTTGAGAAGGGTGCAAAGCTGCCCTAACTAGTGAAAAGATGCTCTAAAACCTTCTTACCAGGGGCATAAGGGGAGCCTCAGGTGGGGTGACATAGCCATTGCTGTTCCTATAGCACCCCACACACACTGGGAGTGGCACAGGGGATATGGTCAGGGCTCCCCTCTGCTCTGACAATCTCTGGCTGTTATAACAGTCCTCTGGGGATGTGGGCAGTGGTGTAAGTTGGAACAACCTTCAGGATGCTCCAACTGGCTTCAGAGGATCAATGCAGCCCTAGGACTGAGGTGTGCAAAACTGGCCTAGAGTCATGTTTGCAATCCCTCCTCGACCTGCTGTGCTGAATGCTCTATGGCCACAGGTTAGCATCTGGCTCCAAGTGTCTGGGGATTCAAAGTTCCTGTGGCAGTAGCTAGTAAGAAGTCTATACAGTATGTATGGAAATAGGGAAAGAAAAAATTTAAATGGCATATGCTGGATGCATGGATTAGAAACAAAACCTTCCCACATGATGCTTGGCCACCACCTTTATTATAACATTTTATTATAACAGCTACCATATAAGACGTTACATTCTATAAATTCAGACCTGCCCACACGCTACCGCTTGCGTGTGAGCCAACTGACCTCAGTTGGGCAGGGCATACCGCATCCAAACCCTCAGTGCACAGCCCTCCTTTACAGTGCCGCAGGCCCAGGCCACAAACAATATCCTTGCCCAGTCTAGTGTGGAAAACATGGTAAGACTGAGGCGTCTCGGAATAGCATAGCATTCACGCAACTCCCTGTGACGCTGCTATCCTTCTGGTGGCCTGGGGGAGCCCTGAGGTGTCTGACAGAGCGGAATGAGGACATATCTAGGCCAAGGTAAATAACAGTTTTCTTTTGTACCTGGCTTAACAAATACAAGGATAGAATGTGGGAGAGAAGGTGCCAGATAAACTCCAGCTAAGGCATAATATAAGAAGGGACATAAACAACCAAAGCAGAGATGAAATGACTGATAAGGGTCAGCTCCTTCTCTTCCTCCTCCTTTTCCCCCTCCCTAGTATTTGATAGGGCCCAAACCCATTGCCGCTCTGTCCAGCCAGTCCAGGTTCCTGACAGAAAAGGGAGGAACCTTTTCGAGTTCTGCTTCCATCCCAAACACTGGAGAGCTACTGGATCCCCAGAATGTAGAAGCAGCGCTTAATTTGTGCCAGGGCTTGCCAGGGCTGAGCCCTGGCATCTCTTGGCTTGGCACTTCATAGCTCCAGCACCTCTGGGCTTGTTGCATCAGTTATGAATGTAAAAAAATTGCTTGAGTCACTACAGATCCCACTGTGGGGGATCCTTTATGGAGTCATGCTTCTGATGCTGTCTGGACTGTAGGCAAGCTGCTAGTGGAAAGGCAATTAGCGGTCATGAGCCCTCTGGGAGGATGTCATGCATCCCCAACCACCTACAACATCCATCTGGCCAAAATAATACCAAGGGCCCACAAACCAATAAGTAATAGTTTGTAGGTGTTTGTGTTTAAATGGACAACATTTTACTATTTCAGTGTCCACTACCCAGGGGCTGAGGTTGTCTCCCTAACTGTTTCCATGTCTGTGGTGGGAGGTACACCTCCAGTGAAACTAACATTTCTTCAAACTTGGGTTCTTTGGAGAAGCTGCTGCAAGACTGAACGTTATTGGCTGGCTGCTCTGAATTCACCTTGGTTAGGCCTGAGGATGACTGAAACACAGAGGACTGCAGCTTTATTTTGTATGGCCACTGCATTTCCATAGGTGCCGAGGAATTCTGTCTGCTGTACAGCACCTTGAGAGGATTCAACTACTGCAGTGTTAGGCAGCAGAGCTGGTCAAAAATCTTAGGATGTCAAAAAATTGACAATTTCAAAATCTGAATTTGTCAAAATCATCTCAATTTTTTCCTCTTTGATCAACTAAGGTATTTGCAAAAAAATTTCAAATTTCAAAAACAAAATGTGAAGGATTTTGTAAAAATGTTTGATTTCCCTGGCCCCCGCTACCTTTATCTTTTCTTTTCTTCTCTTTTTTTTCTGAACAGCTCTGGTACAGAGAGTTCTGAGCAGACAGCAGCCCCAGGGGCATCCCTAAAGCTCTTTCCCAGAAGTATACGCTAAGATGTGAATTTAAGCCACTATTGTTTTTGTACCAGTAGAACCCCCATGTGGATACTCTTATTCTGGAATGAGAGTGTCTTTTTAGGTTTAGCTTTTGTTGCTTTGGAAAGGGTTTAATCGAAATTCTGGAATAAAACGGTCCAGGGTGGGGGGTTATACTGATATAACTATAGCTGTTTAATTATATCAGAATAACTGTACTGGTATAAATAATAATAAAAAAATGCCATGTAAACAAACCCGGACACAGGTTAGTGGCTATTGACTAGATTCAAGCTAAGAGGGAGAAATAGGTTGAATTGCAAAAGGAGATTGCAGTGTGAAAAAGGTGAAAACTACTGTCCTAAGGGAAAATCTGAAAGGGCTTGCCTACCAGGGGAAATCATCAGCATAGTTATCCTGGAATAGCTCCCTGTGTGGATATTCTATTTCAGAATAAAAGTGAAGTTATTCCAGAATAATTAATCTGCCCAAAATTGGAATTTTTTCTATTTATGGCACCTTTTAACTTTTTAGGAGTCACTGGAACTCTTGTAGTTATTTCCATTGCAACCTGTTACAGAGGACACACGCACAATGTGCTCTCTCACTGAGACTTTACTTTTGCCTTTTCTTATTTTGGTGTTTGTCCTCTAATCTAAAATTCCTCTGTGACACTGAGCCAGTGAAGGTTAAGCAACCAGCAGGCTGAGTGACCATGGGCGGCGCATAATGGAGGCTAGGGGAGGCTAAGCCTCCCCAAACCTATTGCTGCTGGGGGTATGTGTGGGCAGTAGCGGATTCCTGCATGGGCCCATGGGGCCCATGCCCAGAGGCTCCAGCCAATTTGGGGGCCCCAGAAAAACATCCTCCCATCATGACCTCGAGGTTGGAAGAGCTTTACTGGTCTCCGGACTGCAGCAGGGGTGGGGGGCCTGAAAGGAGTGAGTGGGAGGAGCTCAGGGGGAAGAGGCAGAATGGGGGCGGAGCTGTAGGGGAAGGGGCAGAATGGATTAGGGCCATGGGTGGGGCCGCAGGTGGAAGGGGGCCAAATGGGGGAGGGGCTCTGTGCTTGGAGATCCAGCCAGGGCTGAAAGCTCCATCGCGGTCCCAGATGGGGCTGTGAGTGTGACCCCAGCCCAGGCCAAGCTCTCAGCCCCTACCCCTACCCCTACCCCTACCCCAGCTGGGCCACCAGGGGGCTGAGAGCAGCGAGGGGACATGGCCTCAGCCAGAATAGGCGGGCCTTGGCCGGAAGAGGTGGGGCAGGGGGATAGCCTCCCCAAAGGGAAGCTTCACCCTCCACCCATGTGAGTGATATAAAAGGAACTCTTAAGGCCATATTAGAAGAATATTGAAATGGTAAACCGGGCCACTCCTTGAACATAGTTATCAAAGCCATGTTCAATAGACCAGAATCCTTGTGTTTACCTATATCTTGTTAGAAGTTTAATAATATGATCTAATTAGCTTGTAGATGCTGAACTTCTGTTCCTGTCTATAATGTTTCATTACATTCATTCTATTGATTCAGAGATCAAAAAGGGATATTATCATTTAGATGGGACTTGTGGTATCGTAATGTTATTGACTTAATTTCTCTTTGAAATTTATAGTAAAACTACCTGTGCACTGTTTGATGGTTAATTGTCTTATGGTAATGAATACAACTAGTTACTGGTGCACTCCTAGGAAACCAAGATTAGCTTCAAAGCAACAATGCACATAACCTGTTCTTCATCCAGGGAAGCCCTGCTGTGATCATTTGCTGCCAAGAGACTTATCCACTGAACTTCAGCTATAAAGAAAGTTTCTGACCTGATCCTTTTTACCACAGATCTGCTTAAACTTTTGACAGGGAAAGACTAAGCCCACAAGACTGAGGTCTCTAGGTCTACGCTGGATTAACCCTGCAATTCTCGTGAAACAATTTGAACAAACTCTGCTTATGGACTGCCTATTAGACTATAAATTTTAAATTGATTCAAGAAGGATTATTACAAATCATCAGCCTCACCATCTCTGATATGAAACTGACCTAAGAACTTTATTCATATCTGTATGTATATTGATCTTTTAACCATAGCAACTTTTTTCTTTTTGCTTTTTATTAATAAATCTTAGATTTAGTTAATAAGGATTGGCTTTACAGTGTATTGGGTAAGATCTGAAATATTTATTGACCTGGTGGGTAATGTGTCTTGGGATTGGTAGAACTTTACATATGGTGAATAAGGTTTTTAGTACCCCTTATTATATTCGACTTGGCTGTCTGGGTGGGAACCAAAGGCTAGATTGCTTAAAAGGGACTGTATTTTGGCTTCTTGGTAACCAGTAAGGTATTACAGAAGCTGTTTGGTTACTGGCTTGGAGAAATATAATTATAGAATAACCATTAGTTTTGGGGATTGTCTACCTTTATTTTTTGTAGTTTGCCCTGAATAAGCATTCTTGATGTGGCCTCTGCAGGTACCACAACCCCATTTAGGCCTCAATGCAGTAAAGAATTAAAGTATGCGGTATATTTAAAGATGAATAGTCCTGTTGAAGTCAATGAAATTACTTTCATGCTTGATGTTAAGCATGTGCTTAAGTGCTCTGATGGATCAGAGTCTTAGACTGAAAGTATATGGTTGCTCTTTGTGTAATGGGAAACAACAGAGATCTCACATGAGTAAGGACAACAGAATTTTATTGATCAATTTTGAAATGTTTAGTTCTTTCATTGTCAAGATATTTTGGGGTCAGAGATGTGGGGGGAGGAGGAAGTATGTTTCCTTGTTTGAGATGCCATTTCATGTTAATGTCTCAAGGTGATTCTTGATGATAAGATTAAATTGGTCTTGGTTTATAAAAATGTCTGAGCTAGTTTCATACCTTAATGCAGGTGTACTAAATACATACATTAGAATATGGCTCTGCAGTTGTTCTGCCCTGTTGCACCCATAGCATGGCATATTTATTTAAAAAAAAAATCCATAATTACAGGTATTTATTTAGCTGACAGACCAGAACAGATCCAATGAAGTTGTTCCAGTCTCAGAATTAAATTAAATGCATCTTGCAAAACTGTCTAATTACATATTTATCCAAGGAGCTGTTCTCATCTTGAGGGTAAATAAAGCACAATTTATAGAAATTGATGGAAGTTTTTTTTTCTTTTTTCTTTTTCATTTTACATAGATATCCAAGTTGTGACAGAGGCTGGCAAGAGCATAGCCAGGAAATTCAGAGCTAAAACTGACTATCTCCTCAATACATATAATTGTACCTCTTTCCACTAGAAAAATCAATGTGTGCCAGATGGCAACTTAAAGTTGCCTAGAGGAGTGGGGGGTTCTTTTCTTTGTGTCACGTTATTTAAATAAGAGGTTTTGGAATTAAATTAAAATGTAATATATTATTGGCTTTCCTATATGTCAATTACATTTTCGAGCATTCTTTTCCTGGGACAATAGATAACTATGGAATATCTGTAAAGATCACGTGTGTGGCTAAGGTGGATGGGAGGGAGAGGTGCCATGAAGTGACGCAGCTGAGGAAGCAAAGTTACTGGATATGAATGGGTGAGGTAGGAGTCCAGGAAACTTTGAGGTGGAGGTAGGGCCTTGCTGGAAGAGCTTGGAAGACAAGGGAGGTTTATGCATGTTCAATATGTTCAGTTCTCATTTTTACCAGTCAAAATCTGGAATAAATCCCTTGAGATCAACAGATTTACTCTGATTTATATACTGCATCTGAGATCATAATCTGGCCCAGTGTGACTAGAGGAGGATTTCTGTGGCATGCTCAAGATTTTCCTTGAGTAAACATGTTGGGTCCATTTCTGCTTTCTTATTATACCAGTGCCAATAATTGACTCGCATTAGTGTAAAAGAGTGAATTTATTTGGTTGCATACTAAAGAAAGCTGTCTTCAGAAAGTTGCCTAGTAAATGATTCCACATGCATTAATTCACCAGCACTAAAGATCCTTAACACTTGAGGATAGAACCTTAGCAACAAAAAGGATCATTACTCAGACAAGGAAGAAAGATGACTGAAAAACATAAAAAGCATGTGCTGTGCAGTAACCATCAAATGAGGAAAATGCTATAGGGATTTCTGTGATTTATGATGTTCCATAAATCTGGGCCTGTCTCTGATGTGAATGGAGAGGGCGGAGGGTTGGCAAAGAGCTTCCTCAGTTTTCACTTGTCCATTTTTTATCATGTACAGAAATTTCCTTGTCAGATATTACTTGTTTTACAACCTTGTTTCTAAAATGTACAGTGAGGACCAGCCACGTTGATTATAATCTATAAATACTTATGTGGGGAACAAATATTTAATAATGGGTTCTTCAACTGAGCAAAGAAAGGTATAATATGCTCCAATGGCTTGAAGTTCACGCTAGACAAATTCAGACTGGAAATCAGGTGTAAAATTTAACAGTGAGAGTAAATTAACCAGTGGAACAATTTACCAAGGGTCATGGTGGATTCTCCATCACTGACAATTTTAAAATCAAGATTGGATGTTTTTCTCAAAGAGATGCTCTAGGATTATGGCCTGTGCTATAGAGGGGATCAGACTAGATGATCACAAAGGTCTCTTCTGGCCTTGAAATCTATGAAATATATTTAGGGATACAGTAACATGCATTCATAAATTATACCTCACAACAGCCCTGTGAGCTAGGGAAGTACTATCTGTAAAAGGGGGAAACTGGTAATAAATAATTTAGAAGTCATCTTCAAACATGAGTGCTGTAAAGTGAGTAGTCAGGCATTAAAGAGTTAATAATATTGTATTGCTCTTGTAACCCACTCCCTAAGTCGGACACAGGTTTCTTCCCTGCCACACTCAGTCTGTACTAGCAGCAGACAGTAAAGCAGACCCTGAAACTGTCTGTGTTTGTATGCACGCAGTCATTCCTGAGCTGTAAACACAACAGGTGCCTAAAGTTATCCATAGACATGTGCTTTAAAATTAGACACCCTATAAGCCCCTCATTGTGCAGTTAGACACCTAATTTTAGGCTTTTAGGTCTGGAAATTGCAGTCTACTGGTAAGTGACTTGCCTGTGTTTGTACCATATGAACAGGTTTTCAAAGGTAATTGGGTGCCTAAAAATGCAGATTGGTGCCTAGTGGGATTTTCAAAAGTGTCTAAGCAGATTAGGTGCCTAACTCACTTTTTAAAATCCTCAAAGGTGCCCACCTGCATCATTAGATGCATACATACCTATGAAAACCTGGTTCTAAGTTCATTTTGCAGAGCTAGACAAAACACAGGATTCCTGACCATTCCCTTTTCTAACAGCTCCTGTTCTTTACTGGGCTATTTAATTGTCCAGTTGATTTATCTTTGGGCTTGTCATGAATCTTGTTTTAAAAACAGCAAACTAACTATACATTTTCCAGGATAGAAGGGCTACTGAACTATTAAACAGAGCAGTTGATTTCACTTTTTATGCTCTATAACAAAGTGGGTTGGCCTTGGCCTAGCAAACCACAGGCTAATTTTAAGCACATACCCAAGAGAGTGCTCATGTAGCAATGAATTTATTGATTACCGATAATGTTGTTCTGTAGCTGCTTTGACTGACAAACTGATAGCACAAGATAGCTTTGGCTGTTTTATATCGGGTGAATATATTCCATCAATCTGCTAGAGTTACCAACTGTGAATGACAAACCGTGTGTCTCTCAGAAACTCCTTTTTAGTGCAGCAAATGCCCACTCTCTCTTCACTCAACTCCCTTCTTTCATTAAGCCTTCCAATAATAATCCACCAGATAAAGAAATAGATACACTGGGACATGGTGAAAGCTTTTTTGTTTATTATCTTGTCTTGGTCCTCTTTCTATTACATCTTGCAATGTGTTTTGTCTGTCTAAGGGTATGTCTACACAAAAAATGTAAGTTGACCTATATTGGGGCGACTTACAGCCACCACAGTAATTACTGAGGTGGTGCATGTCCACATGACCCTCCTTGGGTCAGTGGTGCATGTCCTCACCAGAAGCGTTTCCACCAACCTACTTAGTATAAGGGGACTACCATCAATCAAATGTAGGCCCTGCCCCTGACCCCTCAGGCCCCCCCATCTGTCACCATAACACCTGCCCCCTGGGGGCATTATTTCCGCGGTCAAGACGGACACATGACCGGAAAGAAAGGGTGTCATGTGACCCCCTCTAGGAACTCCTCCCACCACCCTCTACCAATCAGGATGGGCTTCACCCACTGTAGGACCGTCCTGAGAGGAGATTTGACCAATCAGGGGGTGTTCCAGGGCAGGGTGACCTGCCTGGAAGAGGGTCATTTGATCACTCTAAAAGCTCCACCTACTGCCCTCTATCAATCAGAGTGCAGCACCACACTGGGAAGTCCCTGTGCCGTGCGGAAGAGGCCATTTCATTCTAAGAACCCGTATTTTAGAAATAGTGGAAAGGCTGAGAGGAAACATGGACTCCTTCACCACCACCGGGAGAAATTCGGACTTCATTTTAGCTCCAAGGGCCTTCGACCGCCCGCGGAGAAAGCGCTACATCAGCTACAGTTCCAAGGAGGAGGGAGCGGCCGAGGGAAGCCCTTTGGCCCAGCTGTTGATGGATACACCAGAACCTGACTCCGAAAACCAACCACTCGTGAGGAAGACCACCCCTATGGAGGAAGGCGACCATGGCTCAGGGGAGTCACCAGTGGACAAGATGAACGGAAAACACGTCCCTCCGGTAAATGAACGATTAAGAAGTGACGGTCAAGGATGGTGTGTAATGGGGTTAGAAACCAACCCGGGGTTGCATAAATCTAAAAAAGTGGGGGCTTACAGTTTTTCTTTTCTGAAAATCTCTCAGCAGCTCAATGATGCCTTTCTAGAGGACCCGGAGGCCCTGGACAGCGTCGCATCAGACAGCGAAGAAGAACTGGGCCCGTCTTGTTTTTGCTCAATGCTGGTACAAAGCATTGACGAGGACACCGAGGATGACAGCTACGTGGATTTAAGGAGGAGGCTTGGCATGGAACTAACTGAGGCAGTGCCACGTCGTGAGCATAAAAAAGTCATGCATTCTATTGTACGTATTGCTGTTTATGTTCTCCTTAACCACTGTCTTAGGAAAAAGCTTTTTGAAGATTCTGAGGGCTGTGTCATAGACGCACCAGCCCAATGGCACCATGACTGTGTGAGTTGAACTTCGGAGGATATAAACTGCAAGCTCTGGGACCTGTGTTTGAAAAGCTTATTAAACACTGTTATTGCCATAGGTTATGCTTTGCAATGTCTGATTCCTAACCCAGGAATGATGAGTGCTGATTAATATTAAATGAAATAAAACCTCAAGAGTTCATAAACCCTATTGGACAGTTTAAATATAACCCCAGGAGTTGGTTGAAAACTATGGGTCACTCTTTCTAGCAACTCAAAGTCATTAAAATAATATATTTACAAAATTAAACAAGGGTCTAACCCAAAACTGAAATGTTTCAAGGGTTCACAAACCTCCACTATACTTTCATAGAACAAGCATTTGCTGTAAAAACATTTAAAAGCTATTGGTATTTTGTAGGGTGTTTACTAGGGTTGCGATACATCCATTTTATTTCAAAACAACCCAAAACTTTAAGCATGAAAGAAACATGTTTTAAAAAGATAACCAAGACATTCATTGATATCAGTAACATTAAGGATTGTTGTGTATGGTGATTTACTGTTTAATAGTCTAAAAAGGCCCTACAGTGCTCTGTTATTTCATTGAAACAGAAAAATGTATTTTAACTTAAAAAAAACAAACAAACAAAAAAAACCCCAGCTCAGTTATGCAGACAACTTAATTCCCCCACCCCTCAGATCACAAAAGGGAACTTTGGGGAGGGGTGCCTAATTTCCTTAAGTATCTATTAATTCAGAGTTGTAAGTGATCGAATCAACTTGCTAACTACAGACTCTGAAACAAAGAGTTAGGATGGTATAAAAACCTCAGATTTTTGGAGACTGTCCTCTTTCAACAGAAACTATCTTGAACAGAATAGCTGCTGGACAGCAAGACTAAGTATGCTGCTTGTTTTTAACTCTTAAAATTTATATTTTATAATGTCACTCTTTGTCCATGCTGTCCTTACTATATAATGGTACCTATCTTTATCGCAGTGTGATTTGTTTAGCATGTAAATAGCAACTTCAAGCTGCTTTTCACCAGGACCAGTTAAAACCCCATTTTTAACTACAGTTGTGCTTAATACTGTTAAATTAAAAAACACCAGGTATAACACAGATTGCATAGAGATTTGATAGCAATTGGGGAATAATACTAACTAAATTTTTGCTTATTCTTTAATCCAAAGGCCCAAATACATGTGGGAGAAAACAGAATAACCATGTGTCAGCATCTCTTTACCCTGTGATGGAAGGTAACTTTCTGCAATTGGTTTTTAAAAGTGTTTGTGTGTGTGTATTTTAAAATGTTTTTTAATTAGTTAGTGTTTAAATTGTTGGTGATTCAGGGGGCCTATGCTAGAGATAGGTGTGGGTTTTTAAAAGTATTTGGTTGCAAACTGTTGATTTGGTGTGTTTAAAACTGCTGGGTTGTTTGTTTGTGTGTGTGTGTGAGATTCAGGGAGCCTATGCTAGAGATAAGTGTGTGAGTGTGTCGCTCTGTACCTCAGGGGAACACCCAGCACCCCCATGTTTATCCTTATAATATGATTGTGTGGTATCCAATGCAAAGTTTGTCATTTCGAGTGTCTTCAGAAGGCTCATGATACACTGAGCATTGTTGTTATAGGTTGTAATTTCATGTATATGAGGCTGAAAATGTGTCCTCTTGGCTTAAAACAAGCCCAGGCAAAAACTCTCCAGAAACAGAGGGGCAGTTCACACCTTATCAGGGAATGTATGGGACAAACCCAGCCCAGCCTCACAGGAACAAAGGACACTGGCCTAGGCAGCAACAAAAGATCTGTTGGACTCTCAAGTGAGTCCCCCCACCCCTTCCTTTGGTTAGTTTGGCACTGCAATGAGGTAATGCTCACCTGACTCTGAAGGGTGAGGGGGCAAAGCCAAAAGGGAAGAAAGAACATGATAAACGGGAGAGACATTTGCCAAGCTTTTCCTCTCTCTTCCATCTCCATCTACAGACACCACCACTAAGCAACTGAAGCGCTGATCAAAGGGGAGAGCCTGGCTGAAGGGCAACCAGCCAGCCTGTGTTGAGAAGCATCTAAATTAGTAACGGCATTGAAAGTGTTAAGATCAGCTTAGAATGCATTTTGCTTTTATTTCATTTGACCAAATCCGACTTATGCTTTGACTTATAATCACTTAAAATCTATCTTTGTAGTTAATAAATATATTTGTTTATTCTACCTGAAGCATTGCATTTGGTTTGAAGTGTATCAGACGCTCTGCTTGGGATAACAAGCCTGGTGCATATCAATTTCTTTGTTAAACTGATGAACTTATATAAGCTTGCAGCGTCCAGCGGGCACAACTGGACATTGCAAGACGGAGGTTCCTAGGGTTGTTTCTGGGACCGGAGATATTGGGTAGTGTCATTCGGTTGCACAATCCAAGCAGCGGCTGGCCAAAAGTGCCCACTCACATAGCTGGGAGCAGCTTACATGCCAGAGTACATGGCCCTGTGTGTGAACAGCCCAAGAGTGGGGGTTCTCACAACACAGCAGGGTCATGCTGGCTCTCAGAGTTGAGGATTGGAGTGGCCTAGCAGATCACTGGTCCAGATAACACCAGGAGAATGTTACAGTGGGGTTTTACAGTATTTTGTTTCAAAACAGTTTGGTTTTTTCACTGCAAAATGTGATGTGTTTTTAAAATGGGTTGTTTTAAAATTAGTGAGTGTTTAAATTGTTATTGGTGATTTAGGGGCCTCTGCAAGACATAATTATGGCGCGGGATTAAAAAATTATTTATTTGCACACTTTGTTTTTGGGTGCATGGTGGAAACATGTGCTTGTATTAAAAAAATGTCTAGGTTTTAGAGAAACACTAGTGGTAGAAATAAACCAAAACCTGTGTTTGTTGTACAGTCTGAAATGGGTTATTTTGTTTTAAATCTATGACTTTTTAAATAGAAATTACCCTAATGAGTATTTTATTTTTTAAGTTTGCAAGACAGTTTCATGTGTTGTCTGCTCCACAGTATGGTCAAGACATGAGAGATCCTTAGACCAGGGGGTAAACAAGCTCAAAAGAAAAAGGAAAGAGACAGCTGAAAAGGAAAATTCACCAGCATCAACAGCTGATAGATGGATGAAGCCCAGTAAATATGTTTTGCTTATTGGTTTGGTTATTTTATGAGGCTTTGTATTTTAAGCAAATACATCGGTGTGGGTGAGAGAGATGGTAAAGTTTTGTAAAAAGTTTATTTGATGCTAAATTGGAACATTTCTGTTTTTCTTAATCAGGCATGGGCAGCTCTCCTGTCAGAGCTACAGGGACACCTCCACCAGGACCACCAAAGAACCAGAAATCTGCTCTGAGACCTTTAACAACAACAGCGCCAATGCAAAACAGCACAGACGAAGCATCAGGGCAGTCCAAAACTTGTATACGTCAAACCCAAGGACAAAACAAAAGACTCTGGTAAAAAGCAACCAGGCAAACACAACTCCAGTTTCTCAGCGGCCACCACTACACCAAGCCCTGAGAAAACTGTGAGCGAAAACACACACATTCACAAACCCGGAGAACGCGCTTTAGGGGTTGTGAATAAAAAAAACAAGAACTGAAACCCCAGCGTCACAGGAGCTATCGCCTTATGAAGTATTTGAAATTATGATGAACCATTCTCCAAACACAACAAGCTAGGCCCAGCGCTTTGGTATTCTAAAAAGATTTGGGAAAAATATGACGCTTCATTCAGAAAGCTGATGCATGCTGTATCCTCTGGGGTTCTAAAAGAAAGGAGGACTGGAAACTACATCAAAAATGCAAATGCTCTTGCGGGTGGCTTTTTGAAAAATACTTTGGTTTTTCCAGAGGGTGGTTCTGAGCAGGCGTGACTAGTTGTGGAAAGGGGCCTGGGTAAAAGGGGCATCCTCAAGGGAACACATCAGCTAAGGCGTAAACAAAAGAGGGGACAGCATTTGGAGGATAAATGGATGGCTGCCCAAACGTTATGGGCCAGGGTCGCTGTAATTTTTTTTAAAAGGCTAAAGAAGTGATGAGGAGGAAAAAAACAAAGAGATGCCCCCTATTGGAGGCTCTCAGACTGATGTGTCTGAGAATGGGGAGGCGGAATCTGAACTGCAGGGTGGTGGTGACTCTCAAATAGAGTCTGATTTAGAAAATTCCCCAGAAGGCCCTCTAGATGGATCCCTGTCTACTCCTGATGATCCTCGTGGTGGCCCCTCGGAAGCTGACTCTCAAATAGCATCTGACAAGGAAGACGCAGCTGATGGTCCCATAGAGGAATGCCCAAGTAACCCTGAAAATGCAGATGCAGATCCCCAAACAGATGTGTGTATGGAGTGAGTGAGAAGTTGGCAATGGGAACTACCTAGATTTGGGGGTTCGGTGTATTGAGGAATTTTGTAATTTAACCAACCCTTTGTTTTCAGTAAGAAGAACTAGGGATGAGCTGTCTGCTGAAGACTTCTTAAATCAGACCTCAAAGCTGTTACAGAGTAATAGAGAGATGCATGTCAATGGGACGTTGCGCCTCATTGTGACAATTGTAAAAAACATGGGCTGAGGTGGCCGTAGAGTTTTAAATTCTATCCTCAGAAGTCAAATCATCCATAAAAAGAGACAGTGTTTAGTAGACCTGATTGACACCAGTACCAATCTGTGTTTTGCGGGCAGGCTCTGCCGTCATGTCCGACTGTAAACCCACAGATGTGGAATTGTTAGATGGGGTGAGAAAATTGCATGAGACACTGGAGTGGTCAGATTAAAAAAAAGATTATGCTCAGCGACGTAGCAGCATTTGAACAGCATTTAGGAGTCAGCATACAGGCGGTGCTTTATGCGGTGAAAGATGGGGGGGTAAAACGGGAGGCCCAGTGTACCCCAAGACTTTTTTCATCCTATTGCACGATGGGCATTATTATGGGGTTCTGGATGTGAAAAAGTCATTCAGTGTGAAAAATTATTGTGAGTTTTGCCACAAGTTGTACAGTCATGACCACTCTTGCAGGTATCATTGCTGCCTCCGCTTGAGTGCGACGTGCTCCGATACGGTGGGCGTGCAGCTGAGGTGTCCTAGCTGTAGACTGTATTGTCAGTCCAAAGCGTGTTTAGACAGACACATTGACTGTGCATCGAAAAAACAAGTCAAATGCCTGTCTAAAACTTTGTGTGATAAGTGTCAGTCTTACGTGGATGAAGGGCACATGTGTAAAGGGAGGCATTGTAAGCAGTGTCAGGGTTTGATCACTGCTGATGTAGACAGCCACCTGTGTTTTATGGACCGCGTTAGAAAGCCCGAATCATCGGAAAAGTATATTTTTGATGATTTTGAAGGCACGCAGGAGACGGGGTTGCATGTGTCCAATTACATTTTTGCTATGTCCCTAAAGCCGGAAAAATCCTGGGAATTTCAGGGCAGTGAGTCTTTCTACCATTGTTAAGACCTTTATTGGCAAAAAGTACCAGGACTACACGTTCCTATCACACAAGTTACAATGTGTACTTCATCGTTAGACAGTTACTGAAGGAAAAGATGTGCATAAAACTAATGTGGGTGGAAGTTAAGGCCCTGGGCATTCGTTTTATCAACGCTTTAAACTTCTTGCCCATGAAGCTTAGCAAACTCCTGCAGGCGATGGGGTTTAAAGGTTGCAAAGGGTATTTCCCACTTTTTTTTTTTAAACACTTTATAAAACCAAAATTACATGGGGCCTATGCCCGGGTGGAGCACTATGGCATAGACCGCAGGATGCCCAGGGAGAAAGCAGAATTTCTTGACTGGTATTGGGACAACAGATATGAGACATTTGACTTGCAGAAAGAGCTCGTGTATTATTGTCAGCAGGATGTCAACATTTTGAGATGGGCCTGTATCCTGTACAGAGAAGAGATCATGAAAATGACAGAGATGAAGGCCCTGGTAAATTCACAGAGGTAAAATTGTATATAGATCCTTTCCGGTACATAACGCTGGCATCTGTCTGCATGGCTATGTACAGGTTTATGTTTTTGCAGCCTAACACAGTAGCTCTTCTCCTTCCAGACAACTATCACAGGCAGAAAGAGATATTCGACCCCCTCTATTTAGTGGCTGCTGTATACCGCTCACAAAGAAAATATACAGATACGGCATGCTTTACGGGGTGGGGAATTACAGGTAAGCCCCTACTTTTTAGACAGTTACGCCAGTGTTGATGGGGTACGCATGGCCTTTGAGTTTAACGGGTGTGTTTTCCACAGCTGTGTCCCCTATTATTGTGAAAAAGCACAGCACCCTATGATGGGGACGACTTTTGAGTTTCTTTATTACACGACGCAGCTCACGATCGACTATCTGAAAAGACTTGGTTATGTAGTGAGGAGTCTCTAGGAGCACGAGGGGGAGACGATAGTAGAAACAGACAGGAAGCTTGCAGATTTCTTACATAAAGCCCAGCTGCCTCAGCCTCTCGTACCTAGGGATGCTCTTTTTGCTGGGAGGACTAACGCTATTCGCCTATATTACAAACTTAACCCCGGGGAAGAAATCCACTATTATGATTTTACCAGCCTGTGTGCTTTCGTAAACAAAACCAAAGAATCCCCAATCAGACACCCTGCTATAGTTCATGACAAATTTGGACCCCTCAAATTATTTTGGAATTGCGAAAGTTAGTGTACCCCCCTGCGAGGCCTCTTTTTCCCATTGTTACCTGTCAGAGCGAGTGGCAAACTTATGTTCCCACTATGCTGAACCTGTGCGGAAACCGAGCAGCGGGAGATGTGCACCCATACTGAGGAGGAGACAGCCATCCTGGGGCCTTGGTGCACGGTGGAATTGAATGTGGCCATAGAGAAGGGGTACGCGGTGACTAAAATCTATTTTTTGAAGAAAAATCCGAGAACTCTTTTCAGAGTACATAAAATTACACCTCCGCCAAAAACAAGAGGCTTCAGGGTATCCCAGCTGGTGCACAGATGAAGAAAAACAAAATAAGTATGTTAATGATTTCTACTGGAAAGAAGGCATGCGTTTACCCCAACACAAGATCACGTTGAACCCCGCAAAGCGCCAAATTGCTAAACTGTTTTTAAATGTTCTCTGGGGTAAATTTGGTCAAAGAACAAACCTACCCAATACCAGCATTGTGAGAGACGCTGACGAACTCTTTCAGTCCCTGTTTTCCCCCAATTACGAGGTTTCATCCTGCGAGTTTGTCGATGATGAAACAGCGTGCGTGTCTTGGAAGAACGCGAAAGACCAGTACTCGGTCTCTGGCAATACCAACATCTTCATAGCCTGTTTCAGCACCACTTACAGCTGCTTAGAACTATAGAACCTGGTAGACGGGTCCAAGAGTGGTGCCTGTACCACGACTCTGACTCGGTGATATTTGTGAAAAGGGAGGGTGAATGGAACCCTCCTCTGGAGGATTATTTAGGGGACCTCACAAGTGAGATCCTGCCAGATCAACACATCACCGAGTTTGTGTCAGCCAGCCCAAAAACATATGGATACAAGCTGTCGGGAGGAAAGGCCTGTATGAAAGTCACAGGGATTACCCTGAACGTAGCAAACTATGAAAAGATCAACTTTGACAGTTTGAAAGATCTAGTCCTGGACTATAGGGCGGTGCTGGGAGAGAACACCCCAAAAAAGGTAGAGGTGCAGCAGCCCTGTATCGTAAGGAAGAAAAAAAAATAAGTAGCAAATAGAGACAAAGACCCTTAAAAAAACGCAGAAAGTCGTTTACAACAAGAGGGTCCTTGGAGAAAGGTTTAAAATCCTGCCCTACGGCTTTTGAAATGGATACAAGATGGAAACACCCCTTTTCTGTAATTCTCACAGGGCCTAGCAACTGTGGGAAAAGTTTTTTATAAAAAAATGTGTAGGATAATGCCAAATGAACCTTGTCTGTTATGCCTGAGAACGTTGTGTGGTATTACAGTTGCTGGCAACCTCTGTATAAAGAACTGCTCAGTAAATATCCCTTTATCAATTTGGTGAAGGAGCTACCTGATGCTTTGACAATGACTGTTTGTTTCCTACCAATAAAGTAAATATGATTATCGTAGACAATCTGATGAACTATGCTTGTGAAAGCGATGAAATTGAGAAAACCTTTACCAAGTATGTGCAGATGTACAAGTCAATATCCCATTGACCATCAATGGGATATTGGCTCCTAACTCCCTTTTGAAAATGAGTTTAGACTCATAAATCAGAGATATTGCATTGTCGAGTGCAGCAATGCCTAAATACTTTTAAAAATCTAGGCCTAAGTGACTTGAACAAAGTCAGCCAGCAAACTAGTGGTAGATCTGAGAATACAACTGCTGACTCCGTACTCTCATCACTACCTGGTTCCTCCATGCAAACTGATTACACTGGTCTACAGCCAAAATGCTTCTGAAATAAATGTAGTCAAACTTTACTAATTCTGGGTCACTGAGAACG